CTCCAAGGTGAATATTGGGTTCTTTAGTAATCACTGTTTCTATTTTTCTTATGTTACATTTTATTATGATAATTTTAATTTTAATTTTACAAAAATGTAGTATGTGATAAATTTACATGACATCATAAAATAACAAAGACCACCTGTTGGTTTGGAGTCACATGTGTTCATGGAAATGAATTGATTTTGTAAACATATATAACTTTATAAACATATGTTCACAATGAAGTTCCTAATTTGTAAAAATGCATATTAACATATTTTATGTAAAAATACAAAGAAAATTGTATAAAGTATTGGTGCAAATGGAGTAAAATACCTGAGCATTCAATTTTCAGGAAGTTTCAAGAATAATACAAAAAAAAAAAAAAGAAAGAAAACCAAACCCACTGCCATTGAGTTGATTCTTTTTTATAGCTGCCTCATGGAACAGTAGAATTGTCCCATAGGGTTCTCAAGGCTATAAATCTTTACAGAAGCAGATTGCCTCATCTTTTTCTCACAGAATGCTGGTGGGTTTGAATCACTGACCTTCTGCAGTGCCTTACCCACAGTGCCACCAGAGCTCCTAAGCTTCTTAGTAAGAGTAAATGTGTGCTCATTAGTGCATATCCATTTCAAAGAATAATCCTCTACTCCTCCCTACGTGTTAACCATATGATAATTATTTTTACATCTTTAGGAACTTCTACTGCTTTTGAAGTGGAAGACTTTCTGAAGTATTATAGATAACATTTGAAGATTTACTGGCTATTGTTGACTAGGATGTAGTGCTAACATTTAAAATGGCATCATTTGGTTTTTCAGAAATCTGTGTGCTTATCTTTAATGCCAGCACTTGCCTCTGGGGTGACCCTTGTTAGATTTCTTGGTGTCATCTGATACTTCAAGGTCTAAAGTAGTGATTTTTATTATATGATATCCTAGTATCCCGTCTATTATATTAAAGTGAATTATTAAAGCCCACTTTTTACTTTTTGCTGACTTCTGCATGTACTTGAATCACCTGATTCTGTTTTAGTTTAAAAATATGGAATTCTAAGATGTGCTGTAATAAAATAGAACACTTTTGTTTTTAACCTTGAAATCATGCCTTTAAAACAAGAACTGTTTGCCTATATTTGATGGTTCCCAGGTTTCTGGGAATGACTCGACTCAGATGGGCTAGTAAATGTTGGGAAACAACCTTGGAGAGGGAGTTTGGTGTTCAGTTACATCCTACTGCCTCTCTGCCCAAGGAACAGTGGATAAGGCCCAGGGAAACATCTCAGGCCAACTGCTGCTTTTTAAAAATCTCTACCAGCAGGATCACTTCTTACTGTGGTTTTGTCTACACTCATAGAAAGATTAAATGTGTCTACAAAATCTGTCCAATCCAGTGTAGTGGTCTAAAGGACTATAGGGAGCTGGCTGAGTTTTCTTTCTTTATAAGTCCTGCTCTCCTGCATCAAGATGGACCTAGAGTTACAGCGTTGTTACAAAGTCAGTGTGCACAGAAGGGAGTCCCTGGGTGATGTAGTAGTTAACACACTCACCTAACAGAAAGGTTGAAGGTTCAAGTCCACTCAGAAGCACCTCAGAAGAAAGGCCTGGCAATCTAGTTCTGAAAAATCAGTCACTGAAAATCCTATGTCCTGCAGTTCTACTCTGACACACATGAGGTTACCATGAGTAGGAATCAAGTGAAAGACAACAGATTATTATTATTTTTTTTTTAAACTGGCTTGTGCGTAGAGTAGAAAGAGATTAATACTAGAAACTGTGGTAACCTAACAGCAGTCCAGTCGAGTTCGATCCGACTCATAGTGACCCCTCCTTGGGTTTCCGAGGTGGTGTCACTACGGAAGTAGATTGCCCAACCTTCCTTCCGAGGAGTGGCTGGTGGGTTTGAACCTCCAGTCTTCTGCTTAGCAGTCAAATGCCCTAGGCACTATGCACCCATAGCTCCCCCCACCAATATATTCTAGAAAAATTAAATAAAAGTTGTCAGTATTGAAAATTTTAAATTCCCATACTTCTGACATATCCTCCCGCCCTACCCCAATACACATTCTTTTTATAATGACAATTGTATTGCTTTCCTCTTCTGCCATCACCACCCACTCCATTTTCACAAAATCCACTTGTCATGGTCTTTCCGTACCACTTTGAACCCTTATATAATTTGCATTTTTTTTCTTTTTAGGGGAAAATTTATTTAACATTGTTCCCAATCAGAGAATTTTTATTTCAAATAATCATGATGAGGGTGATTTGGCACTATTATTCAATGGGAAAAAAAAAAGTGTGCATGCGTTTTTTGTTTTGTCTGGCTTATTATTTAAAATATCAGGTATCTCATTGGGGTAAATTGTCGTCAACGTAATGAGACAACGTGTGTGTGAACTGCTGTACGGAAAGTGAATTTGCTCTGTAAACTTTCACCCAAATCATAATTAAGGAAAAAAAAAAAATCAGATATCTCAAGTGGGCACTTACTAATGTTTGGTCATTTTGTGTCTCCTCTCTCCCCACAACTCCCTGAGCCATTTTACTTGTTGGAGAGCATTGACTTAGCTGTATCTGTGTAGATCGTTGTGTTTTGTTTTGGTGTGAGTAGTCTCTTGCTTGGTTCTTTTAGACTAAAAACCAAAATACCCACTGACATCGAGTTAATTTGGACTTATAGTGACCCCCCACTGGGTTTCCGAGGCAGTAAAACTTTATAGAAGTAGGTTGCCTCACTTTCTTTCCACAGAGTGGCTGGTGGGTTTGAACTTCCAACCTTGTGGTTCGTGGTCAAATGCTTTAATTTTAAAATTAGTGACATTCAGCTGGCCCCTATGATTGTGTTAAAACAAGTCTTGTTTGGCTTCAAATACCACTAAGAAACAGATTTTCTGGGAACCTTATAAAGGTATATTTATAAGTGTAAAGTATAAGTGTAAAGGTCTAAGTGGAGATTTAAAAAAAAAAAAAAAAACCCACTCCACACTTACTGCCATCAAGTTGATTCTGACTCATATATAGGAATCCTAGGGAACAGAATAGGAGCTCTGGTAGCACAGTGCCTAAGGTACTTGACTGCTAACCAGAAGGCTGGTGGTTCAAACCCACCAGCCACTCCTCGGAAGGAAGGTTGGGCAATCTACTTCCCTAGCGATATTGCCTCGGAAACCCAAGGAGGGGTCGCTGTGAGTTGGGGCCGACTCGATGGCACATAACAACAACAGGGGACAGAATAGAACTGCCCCATAGGATTTCCAAGGCTCTAAATCTTTATGGAAGCAGGCTGCTACATCTTTCTCCCACAGAGCTGCTGATAGGTTCAAACTGCCAAAGTACTGGTTAGTAGCTGAGTGCTTTGACCACTGCACCACCAAAGATTAGCACTGTTAATCTAAGTGGTATCTTTGAATCTATATTCTATATAAAGCACTCTGTCTTATCACCAGGAGTAGAGATGCTGGCAGAGGAAAAGAGGGGACTTTGTTTTAGGGCAAAGCATGTAGCCAGCTGCCAAGAAACGATGACCAACTCTATTATGATTTAATTGAACATAGCATATTGCTCTCAGAAGACAAGGCCAAAGGACTTGATTTATTAAAAAAGGAAACTAGACAGGAAAAAAGAGACTCAACTATATCTGTCAAAGTGACATTTTCCACATAAAATCAAGCCAATCCAATCTCTTACTGGTTCTTTAATTAACTAAAGCATGTCTAAACTTCATATTTTTGCTCACAGTATGTCTTTTGATGTTTTGTGTTGTTGGAAACTTGTAACTGATGCATGAGTGTATTCTCTGTTCAAACTGTTCCTAATATATAGCTTCCTTGTCCAGTGTTCTTTCAATAAGGGTACCTGGCCTTTGTGGATATCTTGTCAGAATGATGCAAATGAAGGTGTGAATTTTCTATTTATCTATTTATTAAACTATATTATAATGCAACATCCTACCCCCCACAGATGTTGTAACAAAAAGAACAATGTGATAATCATTATTCTGACAAAATGGAATATGTAGTTTAAATAAGCAATGGAAAATAATGGGTAATCTAATAAGAATAGTCATGTACTGAGATAATATTTTCATTTTGTTTTTTGAGCAGGAAAACCTATTGATTTAAGAATCTTCTTTCTTCCCTCCCCCCATGATGGTTTTATTTCCCAAAATAAGTACACATTATGTTTTTTTTAATGACAATTTTCTATCTCAATTAAAATGTCTTTCCAGGACCAGAAACAGTTGTGTTAGGAAAATATGTATCACTGCTGTTATAAAAGATCTCTGAACAGGGAAAAAATTTCATTGGCTCCATAAAGTAGTCAGAATACAATGGACCAAGGGCAGTGGACCAGGGCATGAAAGAGCTACATTGGAAAATGACACTTCTTTGAATTTCTCAGACTACTCTTTGTAGGAAGCAAAACAGAGGAAAAGGACAGAAAATTGCCCAGTTTCCATGTACTCCATTTGGACTTAGGCAGTGCATTTGCTTTTGAACTCTCAAGCTTCAATCTCAGTCTCCAGGGTGCCCAATTCCCTTCTTATATGTGACCCCTTCCTTGTAGACACCTGTTGGGGACTGTATTACTAAGACACACTAAAGAAAGAAAAAGTACATTTCCCTTGCCAAGAAAGTGTGAGCTACTCTTTTCTAGGGCTCTTCTTACTCTTTGGGAGTCCAGCATCTTTTGTGTACAATGCAGATGTAAATGTTTAATTTTTTTTTTATTCCATTCCACTCCACAAAGAAAATGGTGTTGGTGTATTAATGTTCACCTATATTTCTCCTAAAAAGACCAATAGGATATTTCTTTCTTCAGAACCGAGGTTTTAGAATTTGATTCCCATTGCTTACTAGCATCATTCTCAGTAGAACCACACTGTTTGGCCATGGCCAGAATTAGTTTGAATGGTACCTATTATTGAAAGGGAATCTGTATTTGCAGTAATACAGAGAATGCCAGTTTAGAAATGAGCCTGATTGCATGGTTCATTTTGTTCTCCTTTGTAGAGCCAGGCTGCGGCCCACTACAAAGGCACGAAACATGCCAAGAAGCTCAAAGCACTGGAAGCCATGAAAAATAAGCAGAAATCTGTAACTGCCAAGGACAGCGCAAAGACAACCTTCACCTCCATCACTACCAATACCATCAATACCAGCTCTGACAAAACAGGTTAAGCGATGATCTTTGTTGTTGTTGTTGTTGTTGTCATCGTGGTTGTTTGGGGGCTCCCTCCTTTGTCTAATCCCACGTCTATTTACTTACGTGCCTGCCACATCAATTCATGCTTGATCCATCTTTATGTATGATGGTAATTGTTTTCCTTCAGTTTTCCAATATCCTTAAGAGATTATGGTAATTACCGGTTACTCTGAGTAATTTGCATTTTGAAAGAGTCTTGTGGCTATTTTTGAGGAATGCAGTAGTCCGTAAGCATTGGGAGTCATGTTCCCCTTATCATTTTGGGAAGTAAATCATTTCAGAGTGTATTGTTTATGTCTTGTATGCAGCACCTTAGCTTATAGCTACCTGGCAGGTTTGATTTAACTGTGAATACACAAGAAAGTATGCCAAATGACTCGAGAATGCCCTAATAAGGGCATTATTACTGGCAGGTATTATTCTCATAAATTGCAAAAATTGCATTGTTTTAAGTAGTGGCTATGTGACTCTGGGCTTGTTATGGCTGGGTAACCTTTCCTCTGCATACACAGGTAAGTGTTATTGATACCAATTATTCTTTTTAACAGTCTCCACAGTGAAATAATAGCCTCTGAATGGTCCCTCGAGACAGCTCTTGCAAATGACCAACTTATTCATGCCAAGGAAAGTCAGTGAAGGTTTCTGAAGCTGGCATTTTAAAATACAAGGCTACTATTCCTCAAAGTTTACCCAAAAGGAAGCCCTGATTCGTGGATGTACCTTTAATTAATCACCTACTAGCAAAGCACCAGTACATGCCAGATGTTTTCCTGTCGATACAAATGGCAATGGTGAGGAAACATTCATATTGTCACTGATAGGAAAACCGTAGGCAGAAGAAAATCTTCTGACCATGACTGATGACTGATGAAAATGTAGACTGCTACAAAGTGAACAAATAGAACAGGTTAAGATGGCTTCATTACACATGGCAGCATCCATTAGATATGGATGTGCTCCTCCAAGCGTCGAAAGTGATGCTTGCTCCCATGTTTTTCTGACACAGGTAACCCTGAATGCCTATAGCATACTTTCTGTCCTTTACCCAGGACACATATCACACTGTATTATTGGTAAATGTGTGTATGCCCCTCTCAGTGAGAACAGCGTGTACTCTGAGGGTTGGAATGTTTTTGTCATCTTTGTATGCTGGCATCTGGTCTGGTCTGGTAGGTGTTAAGGAAAATGGCTGGTGAACCACTGAGTATTCTCTCAACCCTCTGATTCTCTGATTTTTCCATATTTATGCCACCACATATTAATAGGAAAGTTAAAAAAAAAGTACTTCTCTTATTCACTTCTTTGGTATCCAGAGTAAGAACTAGATTAGTCCACCTTACTAATTAGTAAAACTTTACAGGACAAGCATTCATTGCTTCCTCCTTTCCTTTTTTTTTTTTTTTTTTGGTGTATTCTGATATTGACTTTTTTAATGCCCCATTCCTTCCTCTTCCCACCCCCTTGTAACCACTAATATTCTTTTATCTCAATTAATTTACCTAATCTAGATATTTCATACAAGTGGAATCATACAATATTTATCCCTTTTTGTCCAGCTTATTTTAGTTATATAATATTTCCAAGGTTCATCCATGTTACACCATGTATGAGAACTTAATTTCTCTTTATAGCTGATTAATACTCCATTTATATGTTGTTGTTGTTATGTGCCGTCGAGTCAGCCCAGACTCATAGCGACCCTTCCTTGGGTTTCCGAGGCGGTATCACTACGGAAGTAGATTGCCCAACCTTCCTTCTGAGGAGTGGCTGATGGGTTGAACCACCAGCCTTCTGGTTAGCAGTCAAGTGCCTTAGGCACTATGCTTTCATATATGTACGCATATACGTATTTTGTTTTATCAGTTCATCTGTTGATGGACATAGTGTTGTTTCCACCTTTTGGTTATTATAAAGCTACAATAACTATTGGATATATGTTTGTTTCAGCTTTCAGGTTTTTTTTTTTTTTTGAGTGAGTGTATATGCTTATGAATGGCATTTCTGCATCATAAAAGATTCCTATGTTTAACTTTTTTAAGAACTGCCAAACTGTTTTCCACAGCAGCTGTACCATATTACATTCCTCAAGCATTTATCTTTTCTCTACTGAAATTTTAGTGGAATGAGAGGTAATGAAGCATGTGAGCATCATTTCTGTTCCCAGGAACTGAGCCAAAAATTGGGACCCCAAAAGCCACACTTGTCATAGGGAAATAAAGCTATCTGTTGCAAATAAGACTGTAGGTAGAGAGACAGGTTTGATGTAAGGGTTAGAATTACATTTTTTGTCTGCCCCTAACCTCATATGTTTTTATCAATAGTAGTTATTTGGATTACTTTGAATCCTCTTTAAAAATGCAAATATCCCTGTGACTTTGAGGATCCAAAACCAAAGCTCACTGCCATTGAGTTGCTTCTGAATAGCAACCACCACTGGACACATCATTTAAATATTTATATATAGATGCACACATATATGTGTGTATACACACATGGTGGATAGAATTGATAACTTGGGTTAAAAAAAGCCACCCAAATGTGTTGTCTCTGTTATGCAAATTAGTTGGAAACACATACCTCTGTCTTTCAACTTAGATATTAGACTGTAAAGCAGTTTTCTCTGTTGAAGCAGAATGAGAAATAGTTCTGGACTGGGCTATGGACAGAACCTCCACAGAAATAAACAGGCTGAAAGCAGAGATGTCAGAGCTTCCCTAAGTGGTTGAAATGATCTTGAGAGCTACACCTTCCAAGCTGACCCGAGAGAAAATTCCAGAGGAGTGGAGGAGATAACCTTTGTAAAACTAGTACAAATACCCTAAAGCCAAAGGAAGGCAGTCAATGGACACCAAGAAGGATATTGCTTTCCTAATTTATGAGTACTTATACCTGGGGCGGGCGGGGGAGTCATACAGGTTCAGAGACAGTAAGAATCCAACCACACTCAGCAGAAGTTTCAAGTGAATTCTGTCCTTGGACTACAATTTCCAGAAGACCTCCTATGAGAAATAGCTCCATCCATATCATAGACCTTCATATCATTTGAATTGCAATATAAACCAAGATACCTATGCTGACAAAATTGAGTTTTCTTTAAATGATAACTTGTCCTTTTTATTACTGCTCGCTTTGGCCATGTTGTCAGTAAGGACTAGTCCCAGGCAAAGGATATCCTGCTTGGTATAGTGGAGGGTCAAAGAAGAAGGGGAAGACCCTCAACAAGATGGATTGATACAGAAGTTGCAACAATAGGTTTAAGCATAGCAAGGACTGTGCGGATGGGCAGTGTTTCATTCTTTTGTACATAAAGCCTCAGTGAATCAGAGACAACTCAATGGCACCTAACAGCAACAATAATTCCTTTTAACTCTGAATATAAGATGAGTCTCAGCTGGTTTTCTAGAGCAGTAAATACTTAGGGGTAGAAGACAAAAGTGATAACTCTCGAATCAAATTTTATTTTTTTAGTAATCAAAAATCATAAGCCCTCTGCTGTGAATGCACAAGAATGTTTCATGATATTTGGATTTATTCATGTGAAAAGTATATGGACATATTCAATCACATCTGAGTAATTTTACCTAATCATTTCGTAATAAAAATAACCCAATTATATGGGGAAAAATAATTGGTTGCTTTGAAAAAATATTAAGTATGTGATGATTAGGTAGATGAAAACCCAAAGAAAAATAAAAGGGTTAGGGTAACAATAGTGAAAAGGGCAAGAAGTTGTGTGGACTTGAGTTATAACATTTATTCAGGGGTTACCCTGAGACTCTGAAATACAAGCCAAAAAAAAAAAAAAAAAAAACCTTACTCGCAACCCTACTTGTTACAGAGGCAATTTTGGCAGTCAGTTTCTCTAAAACTCCTACATCAGTATTACATAGTTTTATTTGCCATCTTGGTATAACACTGATCTAAAATTACCTACAGGGTAAACTCCTATTCACTAGCTTTATGGCCTTGGGATATTTTGTTGTTGTTACTTCTTCTGTCTATATGCTGGGTGGTGAACAGTATGTACTGTTTTTATAGACTTGGGACTGAACTATTCACCCTGTTATGCGTATACCGATCAACCGCATTCTTTTCAATGGCTGTGTAGGTTCCATTGTACGAGTGGGCTATAATTGAATCCATTCCCTTTTAAAGCTCAAACAGGTCTTTTGCAATTTTGTGCCACAAGAAACACAAATCATTATGCATTTGCACCTGTAGGAGTATTATCTTACACAATAAATTTTTAGAAGTAGCATTACTGAGGGAAGAGGATATGTGCTTTTTTAATTGTTTTACCAAATTGCCTTCCAAAAGGAGTTTTCGTATTTATACTTTCAACAACAGGGTGTGACAGAATCTCACTCCCTGCATTCTCATCTGTACTTTTAAAGTTCTTTAATACATGCACATATATTATCCTTGCAAAGTTTAAATTGCAAAATATTTTAAGAACTTATCATTTGCTTGGTTGTTTTTTTTGGTTTTGTCGAATTCTGTTTTAGTGGGAAAACATTATGGAAAATGCTGTAGTTACTTTTCAATATGGAATATTCCATAGCATTTCCAAAGATGGCAAAAATAACTTTATCTGATCTAGTGATTTTTTTATGCAAGTATTTCACATGAAAAAAGTAATGATAGTATAGCATTATTATTCCACAAAAAGGTGGAAACAACTCAGGCATCCATCAACAGATTAAGTGGATAAACAAAATGTAGCATATATAGAAACCCAAAACCAAACCCACTACCATGGAGTCGATTCCAACTCATAGTGAACCCTGTGGGGTTTCCAAGACTGTAAATCTTTATGGAATTGTTGTTAACTGCCATCAAGTTGGACCCGACTCATAGTGAGTGACCCCCTCCTTGGGTTTCTGAGACAGTATCACTACGGAAGTAGATTGCCCCAGAATTAGATTGCCTCATTTTCCTCCTGTGGAGCAGCTGGTGGATTTGAACCACTA